CTACCCCCGCCCCTCTTAAGAATGTCACCACGCCACCTCCTGGGCAGCTCCTGCCGGTGGTGGTGACAGAGCCTGTGTTGAGGCACTCATGGCTGAAGGCGATGCCTTCCCCACCCCAGGGATGGGGTGATGCCCCCTACCAAGCTTTCCCTCCTCAGCCAATCATGTGGATGGGATCACAGAGGGAACCGCAGGCGATCTTCTTGTGCTTAGACCCCGGCTGACACCAAACAGAGCGAGGAGGATGGCTCCTAACTGGAGGAGCAGACACCACTGGGCCATGGGCCACGCCGTGGGACAGCCTCAGCCAGGCCCCTGCTGTCACGGTGCGGCTGCAGGCCTGGCACCCAACCCCGTCCTCCAGGGCCTGAAGACTCCATCCGGACAACAGAGAGGAGAGGTGATGGTGCCCGCATGTGGAAGGAGGCGCCTGCAGTTCCCTGTCACCGCCATCGTCTCCCACGCTCCTGCGGAGCAGGGGTGACCGTGTCCAATGTCTGCTCCCTCCTCACCCGGGAACTGGAGCAACCCTCCGCAGGGAGGAGCAGGGAAGACATCTCCATCCTCTGCAGCTGGCAGCCCAGCCTTGGTGGAGGTGCTCTGTCACCTCCCACCCACACTGTTCCGCCCCAGCCAGGTGGACCCCAAGGCTCTGGGAGTCTGACCCAAGTTCTGGCCTCTCTGGGCAAGCTCCATCCTTGGGGCAGGACTTCCCCAGACCAGCTTCGTCCTCGGCTACCCCTCTTCCCCTCCTGCTTCTGCACAGGCCGGATTTGGGCCTTCGGGAAGATTTATGTCCTTCACTGTGAACTTTCTTTTTCTCTTTCTTTCTTTCTTTCTTTCTTTCTTTCTTTCTTTTTCTTTCTTTCTTTCTCTCTCTCTTTCTTTCTTTCTTTCTTTCTTTCTTTCTTTTTTTTTTTTAAAGAGAGAGATTTTTGCTACAGGGTGCAGGTAGGTATTTACTGGCGAGAAAGAGAGACAGAAAGCGAGAAGTCACCTCCCAGAGGAGACGGCCACTCCACAGTCCCTTCTCCTCCATTCTCCTGTCGGGATTTTGAGCACCCACGTGCACACGCTCAGTGTGAGTTTTAAGTCCAGTGCCCAAACTGTGGTGGATTAGGTGAGAGTCCAGCCACGTCCGCCATCTCCCAGTCCCCACTGTGAATTTTCTTAGAGGTCTGAGAGTCGGACAGAAACTGTGCCGTGGCTCGGCTCCACTCACTCCCTGCTGGAAAGTCGGCCATCTGTGGGCCGCGACCTCTCGCTTTCGTCAGGAAGTGATCACACTTTCTGTATATTTCTGTACAGCGCTCCCAACACGGTGGTTTGCAATAGCTCTGGAGAACTTGATTACTCTAATAAATAAATAAACTTTATTACTCTACTAATTTTTTTTTCTTTAAGTTTGCTTTAGGGAGTATGCACTCACTGGAGAGAGGCACGGAGAAAAAGAAAGTCAGAAATCCCTCCAGGGGCATGGTCACACAGCAATCCCTTCTCCTCCGTTTTCCTCTTGAGATTTTGGGCATGCACGCACACATACCTGGTGTTTTTCAAGTCACAGGTCCAAGGCTTACACCACGCAGTCGGTCCAGCTGCCTTAACCATGCCACCCGCGGGCCCCTCACGGGGAATCAGTATTTGCATGGGCTTCACGAGGACAACTAAGAGAAATCTGACTTCTTGTAACTACTAGCAGCCGCCATTTGTTGTTCTGGGTATTACGCAAGTGCTTTCTGTACACTATCTAGTCCTTACAGCTACCCGGCGTGATAAGTATCATTGTCCCCCATCACAGATGAGGAAACCAGGACTGAGAGGTTGCACAAGGTACCCTGGCTCACGTAGGTGCTAAGTGATAGCAATGGGACTTGAACCTGAGTCTGCATGATTCCAAAGCCCACATTCTTTCCTTTCTTCTAGGAACTCGACAGACAGTTCTGGAGCTTCTGCCATCTCCCATGCTTGGTACTTCCCCCGCAGGGCAGCTCACCTCATCCTTCCTCCTACTCTGAGGATGCACAGGAGTTCCCCAAGCCTATGGCAAGGAAAAGGTCCCAACTAGACGGTGAATAATGCAGGCATTCCCCTGAAGTTCGCCAGCCACCAGGAGAAAAGGAAAGAACTGTGTGAAAATCGTGTTATCAGCTGTATGGCCTCACTAATGTATTCCAGGCAGTAGCTGGAGCTTTCAGACAGGAGACAGGTAAGAGGGATCGTGGGATCCCACTGAAATTCACCAGGCAAGAGGCAGAGTAGGAAGAAGAGCCTTAAACCATCAGGGACTGTTTGGCCATTTTTTGGTAACTAGTTGCAGGATTGGAGCCAGAGCATCTAAGAAATCAACACCATCAGCGCCACCCGGCACGGGAGAGAAGGAGGGGCTGACCGACCGTGTGCTAGTCCTGGAGATCTGTGGTGGCATGAAGACCTGGGGTCCGAACTCGTAGGAACAAAATCACGACAGCCCGTTACTTCCTTTATTAGTGTTTGAATTTTGTTCAGAACTAAAGCAAACTTTTGTCATTTTAAAAAAAGACAGAGAGAGAAAGAGAACGGATGCAGTGAGACCTGGATGCTGGCTGGGCGCCCCAGTCCTGGAGCACTTGGGCTATCACGTCAAGGATTTCCTGAATTGGCAGAACTGTGGGTAGCATTTTTCTACAACTTCCCTGTTGACAGTGTCCTGATCTTGTTTAGATACTAGAGCAATTTGTCAAGAGTAGGTCCTTCCTCCAGGCCCAGGAAATGAACCCAGATTAGACCGATTTCTTTCCTTTTTGCAAATTGATGGCTTTAGCCCAATGTGGTGGCCATTTGACCCAGTTCTGGGCGAGGAGGCATAAGTAAAAGTCTTCTAGGGACTTCCGGAAAGATTTTTCTCTCTAACAAATGGAGATACTTAGAAAAAAGGCCTTACCCTTTCCTGGCTGTCTTTGGATGTTTTGTTTAAGGATATGAAGGCCCAGCAGGTGGAGTGATGGTTAAGACCCTGGACTCCCACATGGCCAACTATGGTTCGAATGCTGACCTGGTGGGTTGAAAACTTTGCTAGGTGTGTGTGCGTGCGTGCCCCAAATCCCGAGAGGAGAATAGAGGAGGGATTGTGGCATGGCCATTCCCCCTAGGGAGAGATTTCTCACTTTCCCTCTCTCTGTTTCTCTATGGCAAAACAAACAAACAAACAAAATCTGGAAAAAAAAAAAAAGACGGATACAGGGGCTGGCAGGTGGCATGGTGGTTAAAGGCACTGGATTCCCACATGGCTGACAGCGGTTCAAATCCTGGACCTGGTGGCTTGCTTTCTCACTTTCCCTTTCCCTCTCTCTCTCTCTGTCTCTGGTCAAATTTAAAATAATAATAATGATGATAATAATAAATTGAATTAAATAAATAAATAATTATTTTAGGGGAAAAAAAGAGGATATGATGCAGGGGCTAATGCATCCTCCTTGCCACAAGAGGAGACACTGCTGTCCCCCTGAGGGCTACAAAGTCAAAGCTGGAAAAAGCCAGGTTGTTGGTGGCACTGTCGCACCCCTGAATGGTCGGAAACCACACACCTGGGGGGTTCTTAAGTCATTCAAAAATTGCTTCGTGGTTTTGTTTTATCCACTTTTAGTTTAGAAACTGAGCCAACGACTTATTTACGGAACACATACGTGTGCCAGCGCTGTGCTGCTGCTGGGTGTAAGCGTGGCCACGGTGGACAAGGTCACTGTGGTCATGGCAGTCACATTCTGGAAGACAGAGAATAAGCCAGGGCGAGCGAAGACATTCGGAGGCCACTTCCTAACTGGGCTTAACTCAGTTCCGAGTGTAGACCCAGACTGGAGTCAGATAGACCTCGATTCAGATTCTATCCCCACCACCTCCTGTGACTTTGGGGAAATTATTTCCTCTCTCATCAGTAATTTCCTCATCTGCAAAATGACGATAATAAAACACGAAGCCATGGGGTTGTTGGGAAAGTTAAACAAGCCACATCCCCAAGAGGGGCTTTGTGTCGAACTGGGCCTACTGTCCTTCACCCTAGATTCCAGCTCACCATCTCTGTCCTCATCGTCTTCATCACTGGTGTCAGGCAATGGGGGTGTCAAAAATGAACCAGACATAAGCCCTGCCTTCCAGAAATCTGGAGATGAGAATCCACATTTGGCCATAGAAAGTCAAAAGTTAGGCAATGAATTAAACAGGAGACAAAAGAATTCCTCCGGTAACCAGGGCCGGGGCGGCCTAGGCCTCGGAGCTCCTTTCTCTCACACATGTTTTATAGCCACGACCCCCTTTTCCAGAAGGAAAGAACTATTCTGTGTGAGCGCTGCTCTTCTTCCTCCTAGGGCGACTGCTCCCAAGAGAACCAAGGGAGCTTTCTCTTTCTCTACTGAAGTGAAAAATCCGGGGGGTGGGGTGGTGGCTCTGTGGCACTTACCGGCAGTGCCACATTCCAACAAACACACGGATGCTTCCACAAATGATCTCGCCCAAGCCGGTCTACCTTCCGGGATCCCCTCCAAAGCTACCCACTTGCTGTATTTAGCATCTACCATGGACTCTGAACTGCCGCATCCAGCTAAGAAAATTCAGGCCGACCAGCTGGGCCCGCACACCCACACACGTACCCTTGCCCTTGCAGACGTGTCCACCCAGGGTCACACGAGCCACGGAACACTCTGGCACTCCAGGAGTGCCCCTTCCCATAAGCTGGCTCACAGACCACTCTGTGCCCCTGGGGAATCTTTCAACTCTCAGATAGGAATTTTCTTAACAGAGGACAGGGAGGGGGGAGCAGGAGGAAGGAGAAGGAGGGATGGTAAATGTAGTTTTTGAAGGGGACCTAAAATTGTATCCTTTTAGCCCAGACCTCCCCTTCAACTCTCCTTTTCTTTGGACTTTCTGCGTCTGCAAGAAAACAGCTTTTCACTAGGCGGGCGGTTGTCCAAGCTCAGCTCTGGCACAGAGCCTGTGGGGCTATGAAATCACCACCCAGACCTATGCTTTGAAAATGAGGCCATGCGGAGCCGCAAAGGCCCTTCAGAAGAAGGAGCTGGTGACAGGGTCCAGGGTCCCCTTTCTCCTCCCTTTCTCTCCCATCTGGGGGAAGAGTCTTACTTGGCTACGGAGGAGAGCAGGGATGAGAAAGCGCCGTGAGACTCTGCGTGGCCTCCGCAATAACAAACCTGCATAACCAGGAGAGACGGAACCTGTAACCCGGCATCCTTGCAGGCGGCGTCCTCCTGCCCACGTTCAGGTTTTTCTGGTCCTAGCTGGAGCGCGCACTTGCGGGCGTAAACAAACGCGCTCTCTGCAGCCCGCGTCAGCCAGCCGGGCTATTTAAGCAGGCCGGCCTGGCATCAGCAAACGCGGCTTCCAAACGCTCGCTGGGCTCGCCTTGGCGCTTCTACGTAAGTAACTTTCAAAGGCTTGCGGGCTGATGCAGGGCAGTGGACTGCGTAAAACGCGGCAGTTACTGCGTTTGTCCTTGGGGGGAGGGGAGGCGTGGAGGTGAAATGGAGAAGCGATGGGTGTAACTATGGACCCCTTGCAAAGGGATGAGCCTGGGATTGGGGTGCATTTGGAGCGAGGGGGAGTCCCCTGCGGTCTTCCGTGGCAGGTGAGGTGTTTTTCTTGCTCTCTATTTCTAAAAGACATTTTGAAACCACACTTGTGAAATGGTGCCAGATGCATACGATTTTATCTTTTAGAAGTTGATTTTCGCCACGCTGTGTCCCAGCCTGTCACCCCACATCAGACAGCACAGTTTAACAGTGCATTTTGTGTTCAGTGTGTGTGTGTGTGTGGGGGGGGAGGTAGGACGCATCTCTGGATTGAAGACAGGTGCTCGGTTTCGGGTGCCTGTACTCTGCGCTGCTCCTTCTCGTTATGATCACACGAAAACAAGGAAAATAGTCATCTTGTTTAGGATGAAAGGAAATCCTGCCTCGGGTTGGGAGGAGGTGGAGACCCGTGACTGGGAGTGCAATGGCATCGGGGCACTCAGGGTGGCCTGTTAAGGAAAGTGGCCTAAGAGTCCCGGAGTCCAGGGCGCCACCTCGCATAGCTCAGATGAGAGGGTCTTAAGTGGAATGCGGAGTGTTCCCGGGAGCAGCGTGTCCCCTGGATGCTGGCTGGTACTCTGCGTGGTCGAGCTGCGCTAAGTACAGCTAGGACGGGCAGAGAACCAAGCGGTACCGGAGGTGGGCTGAGGAGGCGGAGGGGCAGATGGCTGAGGAGCACCTTCATCAAATGCGTGTGGGATGTTATGAGGAGAGTGTGTCATTCCTTTGGGAAAAGACTCTAGTGATTAAGAATCTGGCGAAAGCCAAGAATCTTTCCAGATCATTCACCCCGCCCCCTCACCCTCAACCACTCACACCTTGACACTAGTTTTCTGGGCCCGTGGAAGTCCAGGGACCCTACATTAAGACCTTTGGTTCAAGTCTATGTATTAATTTTTAAATCGTAGTAAAGCTGGGGAACCAGCAGAGGTAGGAAGTTAAAATTCCTTTTTTTTTTTTTAAGAGACATTTTTGCTATAGGGCACGTGTACTTGCTGGAGAGATGGAGAGAGACAGAGAGACAGAAAGCGAGAAATCACCCCCCTCCCCCAGGAGATGGTTATGTTGCAATCCCTTCTCCTCCATTCTCCTCTTGAGATTTTGGGCACACACGCACACATGCCCAGTGTGAGTTTTAAGCCACTGGATCTGGTACTCGAACCACAGTTGACTATGTAAGGAATCCAGTGACATAACCACAACACCATCTGCTGGTCCCTAAAATGTTTAATATGGCAGGCACTTCTTGGCCACCAAACTGGAGCTTAGTTGTAAGTTCATAAAGGCCTTATTTCAATTAAGCAAACCATGATTATAGGGTTTCTCTGAGCAAAGATAGGTGAGAGTCAAGAAGAAGAGAAAAGAGGGGCCGGTAGGTGGCATGGTGGTTAAAGGTGCTGGACTCCCACCTAGCTGACCATGGTTCAAGTCCCAGACCTGGTGGTTTGCTTTCTCACTTTCCGTCTCTCTCGTGTGCTCTCTCGTTCTGTCCCTCTCAAGTCAAATTTAAATAAATGAATAAACAAAATAAAATCATTCTTAAAAAAAAAAGAAGAAGAGAAAAGAAAGAAAAGGTGGTTACTGTTCTGGAAGGCCTTGAACTCTAAGTCCAGGGACATAACTAAGAAGAAACCAGGCAAAAATAGTACATACTGTATCATCCCACCTATAAAGTGCTAGAAAAGCAAACTCAGCTGGAGTAGAGGCAGGCAGACCAGTCCTGCTTGGGGAAGGTGAGCTGGGGAGAAGGGAGTTTCAGGGGCTGAGGGATGACCGAGGGGCAGGGGAAACTTTGGGAGAGATGGATCTGTTCGCTTTTGTGACGGTGGTGACCATTGTTTACCCGTGAAGACTGTGGACACGTGCACCCCGGAAATGTGCAGTATTGCACGTCAATTAGGAAACGTTCCCGAGCAATGTAATTCTCCATCGTTACTAAAAGCGGTTCTAAAAATCAGCCTGTGCCATCTACTAAAAGTAAACGGTGAATATTTTTAGAGAATATTAAATTCAATAAATAAAGTCCAGCGACCAGATGTCATGATCACAGACTCGTGGGGTGGGGGGTGCGCAGAGGTCATCCAACATAGCAGTTGTCGGACTTGGAGAACATTTTAAAAAAATGTGCCAGAGGGTGGTGTGCTTGCCGGGGACAGAGAGAGAGAGAGAGAGAGAGAGTGAGAGAGTGCAAGCACTCCCCGGGGCATGGTCACACTGCGATCTCTTCCCCAGTCTTTCTGGATTTGGGGCATGCATGCACATATGTCCGATGTGGGTTTTAAGCCACCAGGTCCAGGACTCAACCCCAATACTTAGTCATATGGGGTCCAGCTGCCTTAACTCCCATGCCACCAGCTGGTCCCTGGAGAACTTTAAAATAATCATCATCGTCATCATCATCAGCGACGGAGCCCCACCCAGATCAGTGAAATCAAATCCTTGGTGAACGGGCCTGGCATGGGCTTCTGAAGCCCCCAGGTGAACCCCCGTGGGCAACCAGGGATGAGAACCAGTGAACCCTAACTTTTCTCTGGACCCATGAGTCCAGAGGGTGGGGCAGCCCCAGCACAGGGTCACTGAGTCCCAGGACAAGGCTGGGCTGGGAGGCTGCAAGTACAGCCTCAGGGCCTCAGAGGAAGAGGACAGGGCGTCTCCTGGACCCTCCAACCACACTTCCGGCTCTAGGAAGGACAGAGCGATCTGCACCTTCCAGGCGACACCTCGGAACCCAGACTCACTCCGGGGCAGTGGCTGGAGGAGTTACTCAGCGCCTCAAAGGTGCGTTATGCCAGGACCGCGCTGCACATGAGAAGGGATGGCGAGGAGGGATGAGTCGGCAGTCAAGCTTCCTTTTGGTCCTGACAGAACATCTGGAGTAAGCAGGAGGATTAGAAGCACTGAAGAGTCTTGGCGGACGCCCCAGACGCTCTGCTCCTCTCGGCTCTGAGGGCCAGCCGAGCTGTCAGTTCAGGGAAGAGCATCAGCTCTCAGCACAGAGACAGACTTTGCACTGCACGGTCTTTTAATTAGGATCTCCAGGCCAGCCCCAGCAAAAGCGTGCATGGTGACATGTGTCTTTGTGACTCTGTCCTTCCTGTCTGACTCTCGCCTCTTCCTTGGCACCTGTGTGGGGGCAGGTGCCAGCGCAGGGGACAGTGTGGGACTCCAGCACCTCACGGGCTCTGCCCTGGCCAGCTAGCCATGTGTGGGGTGGTCTCCCTTCTCCCCTCCAAGCCAAATGCGCCATTTCTGAGACATTCTCTTTGAGCTTTGCTTCTCCATTTCTGGAAAACTAATTAAAGTTATCATGTTAATGGACAATCATTGTTCAATGAGCTAACATCCCTTCCTGGTATATTAAATGGCTTGCAGCAAGATAACCTATCCGGGAGGCTTTGAAATGTTATATAAACCACTTGTATTTTATAGTGGGGTAATAAGGAGAATCAAAGTTTGAGGCAAAGTATTTAATCTCTACGGACCAGAATGACCAGAATTCCAAGCAGCTTCCTGGGGGGAGGTAAGTCAGGATCCTAGGTTTTTGGAGGAAGTCTCCCACTGACAGCCTGCAGTCAGCCGTCTACAGGTGGTGAACCCCACCCGACAGGTTTTTATCCTCTGAATCAGTGCGTTCTTATGTAAATAAATACATTTAAATTTAAAAATTTAAAAACAAACGCACAAATAAATGCATTCCTACTCACCAGAGACAGCTACATTTCCTTTATCTGTCTGCAAAATGCGAAGCCAACTCAAGGTCACTACCTTGGAGACAGAATGTCAAGAATTTCTGATCGTAGGGCCTTTTCAAATGCCTCTGGTTCCCTCTCCAGGGCGGAAGGCTGACCCCGGAGCCTCCTTCCTGTGGGACACAGTCTGGCAGTCGAGGGCAAAGCCCTGACCCCAACCTCCTACCACACCAGTTTCTGGAGCCCAGGACAACGTTTTCATCCCATTAGAAAACCGAAATTGCCGCCCACCAAAGACGGGTGTGGCCGATAGGATGACAGAGCCTGCGGGTGGCTGCAGGAGCCCAGGGCAGGGTGGGGGCAGGAGGAGGAGAGGAGGGTGGAGGAGCTCCAACGCGACTCCCTCGAGGCTGCGCTCTCCAGCTCTGCAGAGAGGACTAGCCTGTTGGCACCAGCGCCGCAGCCAACATGGCTTACGCCACTTTTAATTTAATTTTATTTTTTAGAGATTTTTGCCATAAGGCATGTGTGTTCACAGGAGAGACAGAGAGATAGAAGGCAAGAAGTCATCTCGCAAGGGGAATGGCCATGCTGCAATCCCCTCTCCGTTCTCCTCTCAGGATTTTGGGCACGCAGGCACACACCCCTGGCATGATTTTTAAGCTGCTGGGTCCAGGATTCAGACTGATTGGCCACGTGGGAGTCCAGTGCCTTAGCCACCATGCCGCCTGCTGGGCACAAGTTTATGGCACTTTTCAGAGTGCAAATGGTTTTTCCTGCCACTGAGTATTATCCCTCCCCACCATAAATTTCTTTTTTCTTAAAAAAAAAAAAAAAAAGCGGACAGGTCGCACAGTGATAACATGGGTCGATAAAAGAGACAGAATGTCTTCCTTCTTGGGCGACGTTCTTGGGATAGTTCCCTTTCACCTTTATTTCCACGCTCTCTCCGTGTGGAATGGCTGGGTCCTCAGGGTCACTCGGACAGCGTTTTACAGATGTGCTATGACCTGACCCAGATTAATTTTGGACATTATTTTTTTTAAAGTGCTTTTTTATTTTTATTTATTTTTTAAATAATTATTTATTTAATTTTATTTATTCATCCATTTATTTTTAATTTGGCCAGAGAAAAAGAGGGGAAATGAGAAAGCAAGC